AGGGAAAGAAGAATCGGGCCTGGTGGGAAGACCAGGCCTGAAGAAGAGCCCTTACTGTTGCAATTCTCTTTCATCCTTCTGGGCGTTTTATTTCCCTCTCTCTCCCCAGTTGCACATCTTCTGGAAAAGCCTTACGTGACTATTGGGAACCTTATCTGATCACCACTGAAGCGTTCTCCTTGGGAGCAGCTTTTCTCACTCTCCTTGGAGCTCCTCCTCACACCAGTTCGAGTCCCTGTTTATAAATTGCCAGTACTGGGGCAGGTGAATTACAGGTAGAAGAGGATGGAAAACAGGGTGAAGCTAGCGTTTTTTCTCTCTTGTCAGAATTCCTCCTAGAGGAATCAGTTCTTTAAATATGAATTTTTTTAAATAACTTACACAGAAGGTGATAGCTTGTCAGTAGTTAAAAAAGTCAATAAAATATATTTTAAAAATAAAAGTGTAGTTAATGGCCCTAGCCAGTGTGGCTCAATGGATAGAGCGTCAGCCTACAGACTGAAGGGTCCAAGGTTCGATTCCAGTCAAGGGCACATGCCCAGGTTGCGGGCTTGATCCCATTATGGGGCTTGCAGGAGGCAGCCAATCAATGATTCTCTCTCATCATTGATGTTTCTCTCTCTCCTCTCCCTTCCTCTCTGAAATCAATAAATACTGTGCTAAGTGCTGCTCATTTTCTCTCATCCTCTAGCTGGGTTACCTGTCATGGCCTCTCTGAGGCACCATGCAGTAGTTACTCTGTTTCACAATTGATTTTTCTTTTTGTTTTATTATTTCGTGGTAAAAGCTGTTCAGTTGATTTCGTAGAGTGATACAGACCCTTACAAGGAATCCTCCCCTGTACCTATGTGTAGTCTTTTCATCTAAATACACTGCAGCGGAAGAGTTTTTTCTAACGTTACATGCTGAACTGTATTAAAGTGGTTTTCTTTCCTGTTCGAAAACTGCTCCACGCTGATGCGTATCTTGCGGAGAGAGTAGCTGTCTGCGTGCGGATGCTCCGGTGTGATCAGATATCCCAGGGCGTTCGCTCGCATCAGGGGGAGGGAGAGCGATCAGGAGGGCTCGTTCTTTGAGGTCCGCAGTGGGTTCACCTCTGATGCTAAATGGAGCCGTCCTTCCAGTTCAGTTTGAAGGCTCTGAGAGACCTTCCGCTAAGGAGGAGCCCGGGAGGCAGCACCACCGCCAGAAGAGCTGGACCCAGAAGATCCTGAAGCCGGTGCTGTCTGACCACGGCGAGGGGGAGCGCGTGGACCCGGCCCTGCCGCTGGAGAAGCAGCCGTGAGTCCTGCCCAGCTGTGTCCCCGCAGTAGCCGGTGGCTCATTCATAGCCTGGGGGCAGAGGGAGCATGCTGGCCCATGTTACATGGTTATTATGGCGCATGAGGACCTGTCTGGGGGGGTGGGGGGGCTCATTAATGAAAACCCACTTTCAAAGCCCAGGGCACTGGTACCGAATGGAAAGTTACTGCATCCCCGGAGCCTGATTTTAAATTTCATTCTCGGGGATGGATGACGACACCGCCCTGGTGGCTCCCTCTCGTGTGATTGGTGGGTTTTGTGACCCGGGATTACCCAGAGCTGCATCGTGTGTGTTCTCAGTGTGAAGCGGGATCTAGTTCAGGCTGTGGAGCTCCTGCCAGAAGTGCTTTACGGAGTGAGGTCCTGCCTGGGTTTCTGTTTTGACGCCCGTGGTGTCTTCCCCACCCCCACCCCGTTTTTCAGTTGGTATCATGGTGCCATCACCCGTGCCGAGGCCGAGAGTCGACTCCAACCCTGCAAAGAAGCTGGTTACCTGGTTCGAAATAGTGAGTCAGGGACCAGTAGGTACTCCATCGCACTGAAGTAAGTGTGGCAGCCTCATGGGCTCTCCCATTTGGATGGGGGGGGGGGGCGGGGGGGGCATCTTTCCTATCATGGGTAGATGACCAGACAAAAAAAAGATATCATTTCAAGGTAGTCCCACAGGGGCATGTATTGCCACATAGTAAAATGCGTTTGCTTGGACAACAGAATATGAAATGCTCTAGTTAGAATGCAAACAGGGTTGAGGGTGAATGCCTCAATATCTCTTATGATAATGAGGGTCCTATGTCGTCGTCATTGTCCATTAGTCAGTGTGTACCTTACATCACCCAACCTAAAGTAAGTCCTCTCACCAGAGAAGTAACTCCTGATAAAAAGAATACTATCTGACAGGATAATTCAGTCATTTTTCTTTGGTTCCCTAGTGCTTTGGGACTTTAATAAATCAGATCTCTTGATTGTTCAGATGCCCAGTGCCGTTTTGATACCAGCTTCTTCTAGCGGAGAAGGAAACGCTGACTCGCTATTCCTCCCCTGGCTGACTCTACACAACGTTCGTTTTTGCCTGGTGGGCCCGGTGGAGCTGGAATCATGGAAATTCTCATTGCTCCGCGAGCTCAGTGGTGCTATATTGGAGGATCATTGTCAAGCGCCCTAACAGCGTTTCCTTCCTGCGGAAGCTGAGCCCCTGCAGCTGAAACAATCGGGCTGGAGGGAAGAGAGGCGGGGCGGGAGGGTGTCGGAGCAGTATGGCCCAGAAAACGGGACAGGCCACCAGATATACAATACCAGGAATCGCTTTGCTGTTCCTGAAACTGGTGCTCACGGATTAGGTCTTTGAGCCGTCAGTGCCAGCTGTCATTAGATACAGCCAGGAGCAGTCTTTCCAGATTGAGATGGAGGGGGCGGGGGAAGGGGCGGGGCGGGGAGGAAACAGTTTGATTATTATTATTGTTGTTGTTGTTGATGATGATGTATTCTTTGGGGAGGAAAGAAGGAGGAAACCTTATACACGTCCTTTTAGCCATGATGAAGAATATGAGTTTAAACTTCACCTCAGTGGTCTCATACTTGGGCTGAAGCACACTAGTTTGGCAATTTGAGGACCAGGGGGGACTGGACGTTTCTTTGTTTGTTTGTTTGTTTTTGTCTGGTGCCTGAGGACTTGTGTGCACTAAGGATAAACAACTCAAGGACACATGTTTATTGAAGGCTGTGTTTGTTTATAACAATTCCAGGCAGAGATGAGAACCTGTCCACCTGTGAATCTGACCCGGGTTATTTTCAGTGAGGAGGGGTCCCCTTGCTCGCTCATTCATGTCTCCTCCTTGATTTGTTTTGTTCCAGGACTAGTCAAGGATGTGTCCACATCATAGTGGCTCAGACCAAGGACAACAAGTACACACTGAACCAGACCAGCGCCGTCTTCGACAGCATCCCTGAAGTGGTACACTATTATTCCAATGAGAAGTTGCCTTTCAAGGGGGCGGAACACATGACCTTACTCTACCCCGTGCACAACAAGCTGCACCAAGGTTCAGCCGCCACAGGCCCTGGCCGGGCCTCTCACACCTGAGAGGGCCTCAGCACCCACCAGCACCTCAGGGGACAAGGCTGGACTGCGCCACAGTAATTGGTAGGAGGCGGGGGTCTCCATTGAGAAGTCAAAACGTCTTCGGGCTTGAATCCATTTCATGACACCTGGTCACTGACCTGTCCCCTTTCTCCCTGCTAAGTAGTCCTACAACAAGAAATGGCTCATGCCAGGCGCCTCCACTCTCTAGAGGAGGGTGTTCTATTTGGGTATGACCCTCAGCAAAGGTAAGTCAGGAGTCCAGGAATATTCAAGTTCCCCAGAAATTGTACTAATTTTTACCTGGGTTACCCGGTCTCCAAACAAACCAATAAAAGTGCACTTAGCTTTTACATAAAAATGATCGGGCGGAACAGGAGAGCAGATGCTCTCAGACCCCCTTTGGACAAAAGGCTGAACAGAAAGAATAAGTGAATAGTGGACCTCAGAGAAAGCTGTCTTTCTCACGTGTCCTAGTTCAGCTTTGGAGTCCGTGAAACTTCCCAACTTTAGGGTCTGGCAAAGGATTATTTTGTTGGTCAGCCTGCTAAGAAAGTTTGTGCTTTCTTGATCTCTGAACTTTTTCGTCATTTCAACAAGTCAGTAACATAAGCATGAATAGGAAGGACAGTTGGAAAAATCAGTACAGGCTTCTGGTCAAGGTGGCATCATAGATAAGTGCGGTACTTGCACCCTCCCACAACCACATCAAAATTACAACTAAACTACAGAACAACCATCTCTCAGAACCTCCTGAAATCTAGATGAACGGAAGTTTTACAACTAAGAATATACAGAAGACGCCACATCGAGACTGGTAGGAGAAGCAGAGACACTGGATGGGCTGGTCTCACCCACATGTGGATAAAAATTAGGAGGCATACTTGACTGTGGAGGTCCGCACTGTGGAGTGAGCGGTCTTGCCCCACACCAGGTCCCCTAGCCCAAGGCTCCAGTGCCAGGAAGGGAAGTCCCCATAATTTCTGGTTGTAAAAACCAGCTGGGATTGCAACTGAGTGAGATGGAGGGCTCCTGGAGTCCCAGGCAGTTCCTGTTAAAGGGCCTGTGCATGGACTTCCCGGACTAGTCCCTCTGACTAGGGCAGCAGCTCAAAAGGCACCAGGGACATAACAGGGAGGAACTGAAGTGTCTGACATCAGGGTGAGGTCTGGAGGGGTGGCTTTCTACCAGATAGAAGTGTTGGCAGAGGCCATCATTCCTTTGCTGAGTCTATCCCCCTTACAGAGCCAGCAGGCGGTGCCATATCTGAATCTCCGTCAGCCTTGTTATCACTGTTTGCCCACCCTGATGATTCCCTGAGACCCACCTCACCCAACTTTCAGACCCACCCACACTTTTCTATACAAATGGCCTGCGTTGGCTCATGCTTCAGATTTTCCTAAAATCTCTCAAATAAGCAGCATTTACTTACGTCTCACTAAGTATCCCCAGGCCAAGCACTCGTGGCAGTTGGTCTTGGTTCATAGCTTGGCCTCACCTGGGCCCTCCAAGCCCAGCACAAGTAACAGTCATCTGCAGATCAATGTGTAGCTCATACCCATGCCAGGAGGCCCCAGGCAGAACACAGGTGGTAGCTGACCTTGGCCTGTACCTCCTGGAAGGCTCCAGAGCCATCGCATCTGGTGGACAGCTTCACACCAGGTCAAAGCACCACCCAACCACCTCCATAAGCAACACACTCAAGGGGTAGGCTCAGTGGGCACCAGATCCCTGCTGAAGTAAGTCCTGCTCTGTGGTGTAAGCCCCTACATCTGATCCCCCACCATGGTCACAGCCAGTTCTTGCAGCTGATTGGCCTGAGGATAAATTCCTCCCCTTGCTGTACCAACAGCAATCAAGGCTCAATTGCAATAGGAGGGTGTACACAGTCCACAGTGGGGAAGGAGGGCACCCCTGGGCCCTACAGGACACCTACTCCACAAGGCCACTCTACCAAGCCCAGGAGACGTAGCAGCTTCATCTAATACATAGAAACAAACACAAGGAGGCTGCCGAAATGAGACCAAAAAATGTCCCAGATGAACGGAACAGAACAAAACTCCAGAAAAACACTAAACAAAATGGAGACAAGCAATCTGCTAGATGCAGAGTTCGAAACACTAGTTCTAAGGGTGCTCAATGAACTCACTGAGATCTGCAACAGCATAAAAAAAGGACATGGAAACCGTAAAAAAGAACCAGTCACACATGAAGGATCCACTAACTGAAATGACGACTACAGGGAATCAAGAGTAGAGTAGGTGAAGCCAAGAATCAAATCAACAATTTGGACTATAAGGAAGCAAAAAAAAAACAAAAAAACACAGCAACAAGAAAAAAGAATCCAAAATAATGAGGATAGTGTAAAGAGCCTCTGGGACAACTTCACGTGTATCAACATTTGCCTTGGGGGTGCCAAAGGGGAGAGAGAGAGCGAGAAATTAACCTATTTGAGAAAATAATGACAAAACTTGCCTAACTTGGTGAAGAAAATAGAAATACAAATCCGGGAAGTGCAGAGAGTCCCAAGAAGAATGAATCTAAAGAAACCCACACCAAACACATCATAATTAAAATGCAAAAGGTTAAAGATAGAGACTTTAAAAGCAAGAAAAAAGCAGTTAACTACAAGGGAGCTTCCATAAGACCGTCAGCTGATTTTTCAACATAAACTTTGCAGGCCAGAAGGGAGTGGCAAGAAATACCCAGCAAAGCTATCATTTAGAATCTTGTCTTGGCTTCCCAGGCAAGAAAAAGCCAAAGGAGTTCATCACCACCAAACTAGTATTACATTAGAAATGTTGTTAAAGGATCTTGAGAAGGAAAAAAAGAAAAGATTAAACATATGAACAATAAAATGGCAATAATATATATCTGTCAATAATTGAATCTAAAAATCAAAATGAACCAGCAGAATAGAAACAGACTCATAGATAAAGAGAACATTTTGATGGTTGCCCAATGGGAGGGGGCTGAGGAGAATGGGTGAAAAAGGTGAAAGGTTTAAGAAATACAAATTGGTAGTTACATAATGATCATAGGATTGTAAAGTACAGCATAGGGAATAAAGTCAATGTTCTAATAACTATGTATGACGTCAGATGGGTACGAGATTTATTGGGAAATTATATAATGTCTAATCATTGGGGTGTACACCTGAAACTAATATAATATTGTATGTCAACTATAATTGGAAAACTTTAAATGACTTAAAAAATAAAAATTTTAAAAAGAATCACCAATATATAATTAAGGATTGGCATTATTATTCTGAATTTTAGAACAAAATATACAACAAAGGTTTCATTTCTGATTCGTAAAAAATCTGAAAAGTTAGAAGGCTCAACAACTGCTTTCTTATTGGATAATTATACAGAACTTCTGGTACCTTTGGTTTCATCTGTATGCATTGTGGTTGTTATGAAACTATTAATTTTTCTCCCTAAAATGAGGTTTGCTTTGTATTGTTAGAGTAAATTTTAAAAAATATGTATAACTCTAGGATATGATTGTACGAACGGGGTCTCTAATGCTGTACAAAACAGACCAGTTTACACTGTATAAAGGTATTTGAAAAGCCTGGGATTTTCTCTGGACTGTTTAACACTCATAGCATCGTTATCTTTATGAATTATTGTGAACTTCTATCACCAGTTTACTTACTGTGAAAACAAAACGTGGCACTGGCATAACATACGATGGGAAGGGGACTACCGTGACTGGCTCTGTAATTACCACTGAGCAGATGTTTCTGTGTTCTGGGGTTTGTAATTGGGTTCTCACAACTGGTCCAGTTGCAAATGTGTGGTCTGTCGCTAAGGAAAAGTTAACTTTTGTCGTTTCTTTGAAATACAAAAACAAATACCGATTTCATTCATTTTAGGGAAAGCCTAGCTTGCTAGTTATTCGTCATCATTTTACAATGATGATTGAGAGGTTAGTAAACATTTGTTTCCTTACTCAGTTAAGATTGTAGCCCAAGGATTGTATGAGCTTTGATTTTAAAAGTCTGAGAGGAAATGTTTCTCACTGGATCCCAATGATTTTATTAATAAAGAGTGTTCTGTTTTTTAAGTACTGATAGAATTTTTTAAATGTGTATTGGTTCATGTACTCTATCTTCAGTAAAAGTTTTTTTTTTCCGTTTTTTTAGCATCCATAGTTTCATTCAGCAAATATTTATTGTCTTGCGTATATAAATAATTCATTATGTTAAACTTATTTTTAGTTCAATATCCTGGAAATGAAACCTTATTTTTTACTTAAACTTATTCTACAAAGCAAACACAGCAGTTATCCTAATTTTAATAAATACTAAAACCTTTGCAAAATTTTCTTTGTGTCCTAAATGATTTTTGGCCCATACCCAGCAACTGTGGTGAATATATAATGAAATAACATTTTGGAAGCAGACCTGATATATAAGTATTGATTGAGCTTCTAGCAAACGCTCAGGACTGTGGCCTTTTCTATACTCATTTTCTGTGACAGTCGTACTATTTTCTTTATATAATTAAAAGTGGAAATGTGGAGTTCCTTTTTTTTTTAAATATCTTTTATTGATTTTTTACAGAGAGGAAGGGAGAGAGATAGTCAGAAACATCGATGAGAGAGAAACATTGATCAGCTGCCTCCTGCACATCCCCCACTGGGGATGTGCCCGCAACCCAGGTACATGCCCTTGACCGGAATCGAACCTGGGACCCTTCAGTCCGCAGGCCGACGCTCTATCCACTGAGCCAAACCGGTTTCGGCGTGGAGTTCCTTTATAGACCAGTTCCTTCACAGTTGTACAGGAGGTTATAAGAAGAAGAAATAATAGTGAATCAGTAGCAGGGGAGTGGGTTAAGCTACTGTTTTCTTCAGGTTGTGACACAAGTTGACAAAGCCAGGGAGTTCACAGCTGAGCAGTGGCACGAAGTACCATTTGTCCTAAAAACACTTAGGCCCAGCGGGGTGTCCCTAATGGCTTCCCGGTGGAGCCTCCGGGACCAGCGGATCCTCCTAGCGCTCTGCCACGCTTCCTCTCTGAGCTCTGGATGCCTGGGCTTCTTGTCATCTTGTCTGGATACAGGTGTTTTCCTCTAGTCGTCATTCTTTTGACTTAATTCTGTCCCCCAGACAGATTCTTTCTGGAGAGAGTAATGTCTTGGTGTGTTCTGGTTTCCTTCTGGAGAGAATCATGTCTGCAAACAAGTCTGTGCTCACTTGGCTTGAATTTTGCCTCCGTTAGAGCTTCCTGCATCTGCATCCTTTCTCCTTCATCACACCTCCTTTTCAAGGCGTTCTCTGCTCCAGGTGAATAGTCTATTTCATTGGTTTGTTTCAGGCCTGTGACGGACAGAGGGCAAGAGGACTTCTCTTTTTAGGTTGCTACTGGTTCCATCAGGTTGGAATCCAACCTTCGGAGTTGTGTGTATTCCAATGAGTAGGCATGAAATAATAGAGAAAAGTGAACACGTGTACAAAACGGTACATACTGACATCCTAATCTCTACTGGGGACAGATAGGTCCTTTGAAGTTATCCACAGGGCTTTCTTAAGAAACATTTAGCCGAAACCGGTTTGGCTCAGTGGATAGAGCGTCAGCCTGCGGACTGGGGGGTCCCAGGTTCGATTTCGGTCAAGGGCATGTACCTGGGTTGCGGGCACATCCCCAGTGGGAGGTGTGCAGGAGGCAGCTGATGGATGTTTCTCTCTCATCGATGTTTCTAACTATCTCTCTCCCTTCCTCTCTGTAAAAAATCAATAAAATATAATTTTTTTTAAAAAGGCAGCATTTATATTTTAAAAATAAAGTCTTTAATTTTTTTTTGCTGTTTCAAGTCTCCATGCTTTGCTGAGTTGTCATTCGTGTATTGGCCTCTGCCACAGAACGGGGAGGTGGGCAGATGTTCGAGACAGCCAGAAGTTTTTGGCACAGGAGGCAAACGAGTCCTAACCCGTTGCCTTTTAAGTGAGGGTAGCCTTTCTATTCTATGAAGATGCCCTTTGTCGAGTCAACGATTAATGCCTCCCTTCTCCTTCTGCCTGGAGAGGGGACTGAGATGTCCAGATTTCATTTCCCTTCTCCGCATCCTTTTAGTGTGTGGCAGAATTTGTGTGACACCTTTCTCACAGGTGTCTTTCGCTCATCCACTGTCGCTCTTGCTTTCCATAACCAGCCCTGTCTTGGACTTATGATCTCTCTAGAATCACTCTTCTTTTTTCTCCTCTCTCATTTTTACACCCCTATTAACTTGGATTGGGAGAAACTCGGCCTGCAGTGGACCTAACTTAGCCTCCTTAATTTCGGAGCCTGTAGAAAGCAAGCCGTGGTGTGTTGCTGCCATCTAATGGACGGAGAGCAAACTGCAGGGGGAGAACAAGCCGCAGGTTTGGGGTGGTTTCTGAAGGATTTCTGACACCGTTCACAGCTTGAAAAATGGTGACACAGCAGCTGCCATCTTGAAATCGGCCTTTTCCTGTGGAACGGGTGACTACAGCCTAATGCGACTCTCATCACCAGGCCCCCGGGCTGACGGCTGGATCATGTCGTTTAGAATCTTAAATTGCATTCTAATGAATAGCCTAGCAGCAGATCATGACTGACAGCCATCTCCTGTTGCCAAGCTCTGAACCATTTCATTATTTGTCAGTGGGCTTTACCATTTTAAATATTAACTAATACATAGTTTTCACTTTCAAAAATATATGAAGATTGTATGTAAAACAGGCGCCTATCTGTAGAACTTTAGTTATGTATATTAAATCAGAAACATTTTATAAAATTTCTGGGCCGAAACCGGTTTGGCTCAGTGGATAGAGCGTCAGCCTGCGGACTGAAGGGTCCCAGGTTCGATTCCGGTCAAGGGCATGTACCTGGGTTGCAGGCACATCCCCAATAGGGTTTAGCTCAGTGGATAGCTTGTGGACTGAAAGGTCTCAGGTTCAATTCTGGTCAAGGGCATGTACCTTGGTTTTGGGCACATCGCCAATAGGGGATGTGCAGGAAGCAGCTGATCGATGTCTCTCTCTCATCGATGTTTCTAACTCTCTATCTCTCTCCCTTCCTCTTTGTAAAAAATCAATAAAATATATTTAAAATAATAATAATAAAATTTCTGGATGTAGTGCAGTAACCAGTGTAGGCTACATGCCCTCCGGGAGATGGTTTACGATGGAATGTAACTTCAAATAAACAGCATTCCAAGCAAACCATGGTTTTGCTTAATTAGTTTTGAGAATCACCTTCCTTCATCTTAAAAATTCCTATGGTAACAGCTACCGCAGAGAGGGTCAAAAATTCCATTTGTAATCATCGCTAATGAA